CCTTGCCCTTCTGCTTTCCTTTATATTTGCCCTTTCCCTGAGGGCAACATTGTCCACATCCATGGGCCGAGGGCCACCTGCTGTCGTTGTCCCGAGGGCCACATCCGGCATGTTGTACTGAAGGTGCTTCCTTGTCACTGGATCAATGCACCTAAACACTGTTCCAACGATCAAGTCCTCCGCCATTGGGCTGCCAGCTGCCATCGAGTACTGATCAAGCAAAGCGTTGAAGGACAAAAGGTTCTTCAACATGGTCTTCGAAGTCGAAAATGTTGGACGCTGCATCACTGCTTGCCCCAAAGCTAGCGTCCTTGGCCTGAAGGCAGGAGGAAGGATTGAGAACAATCGCTCTGCCAGTGTCCTGGTCTCTTCAGCCAAACCCTCTCCAACCTCGTCAATCATCTTCTCCACCATGTCGATTCATGTCGATCAAGTTGGCGTACTTGTGGTCGCTGAAGATCAACCATGCAGTTTAAGAACTGCTCTCGCCAAAGCATGAGCTGCACTGGGTCATCTGTCAACAAGGTGTCTGGCTGCTTGAGCACCTTTGAAGCTTCTCCAAAATTCGACTTTGAAGGACTGCTTGAGGGTTCCAATCTCAGCATTGCTTCTGTTGAGGCCTTCGCTGCATTTGTAGCTGCTGAAGTCAGCTCTACCAACCTGCTCATGATCTCTCGGGCGTTTGCATGCAAATCCAGTAGGTCTTTCGCAGAAAAGCATTCCTTCTGGTATCGGGAGCGCCCTTCAAAATGGAACCATGAGGGCTGGGGACTAAAGGTCATGCCCACTTGAGACTCCAAAACAAATTGTCCGTCGTAGAGAAGCACTCCTTCTGGTACCGGGAGTGCCTTTCAAAGTGGAACCATGAGGGCTGGGGACCAAGGGTGATGGTCACTTTAGACTTCACACAAGTGATCTTTCGTAGAAAAGCACTCCTTCTGGTATCGGGAGTGGCCTTCAAAAATGGAACCATGAGGGCTGGGGACCAAGGGTTCATGCCCACAAAGCAAGTGGCCTTTCGTAGAAAAGCGCTGCTTCTCGTATCGGGAGCGCCCTTCAAAAATGGAACCATGAGGGCTGGGGACCAAGGGTTCATGCCCACAAAGCAAGTGGCCTTTCGTAGAAAAGCGCTGCTTCTCGTATCGGGAGCGCCCTTCAAAAATGGAGCCATGAGGGCTGGGGACCAAGGGTTCATGCTCATTTTAGACTTGTTTTGAAATGGTCTTTAAGTAGAAAAGCACTCCTTCTGCTATCAGGATTGCCCCTGCAAAATGCAACCATCAGGGTTGAACAGAAACCACCTGGATCCACCACTCACCTAGCCTGCCTGTACTCCTACTTACTTGAGAAGGAGGGACCATCTGCACTGCCCAAGACATGACGAAAACACTATTTTTGACACGGGTAAGAGCTTCAATCCGCAAAGCATTAATCCGTAAACCGCGACAAGGATTAGGGATTAGGCGTGATGCGACCAGTAATAATACAGTATATGGAGTGTGATCCGTTGGATCCGCCACCATCCGTTGGATCCGCCACCACGCCTCAACAACATCCTCGTTCTCCACCCGATGCAAGGAACAGGTGGAGTAGACCACAGTGCGTGCCTTGGGGAACTGCAGCGCGTGGCTCAGGATCCTTGCATCCGACTGGCGTCTATCCATACTAAAACCCCAAACATGCTGGCATACTTGCAGCCTCAGGCACAAAACATGAAACCAAGCGCATCTCAAACGACATTATCATCTAAAAAA